TTTCTTTATTCATCAGCTGATAGATAATTGGGCCATTTTATTCTTTGGCTGCTATGAGTAATGTGACAGACATTTGTGAATATGTACTTTATGCAAACGAGTTTCTAATTATTTTAGGTTTATATCTACAGGTGAAATTGCAGTGTCATGTAGCAATTCTGTGTTTTTTCATGTTCTTTTTGTTTGTTTTTGTTTGTTTTTTTTTTTTTTGAGAATTCACCAATGTTTTACATTGAATTGTCATTTATTTTTTTTTACTTCAAAGAAGTCCACTCTGGAAACCATCCAATGATGCTGACTTACTAGTGAAAAAGTAAGTCGCAAATATCAGTTTATAACACTGCATCACTAATACTTTCTACTTACATGCAAGGACTAGACTAACACAGGGAAAATGCAGTATTTTTACATACAATTTTAAAGATTTATGTGTTTTTTGAGATAGGGTTTTACTTTGTTGCTCAGGCTGGCCTTAAGTTCTCTACGTAGCGCAGGCTGCTTTGAACACAGTGATCGTCCTATCTCAGCCTCCAATTGCTGAGATTACAGGCCTGCATCATCACACCTGGCAAGATTTACATTTTTATCTACAGCTTATAAGGTTAAAAATGAACAAAATCTTATGTGCACAGAGGTATATTTATTCTCATTCTTATGGCTGTGCCACTACAGAATTTCTTAAAATGCAACATTACAAACACTTGAGTTCTTTTTACTTCATATTGAAATGTTGACATCCATACACTACTATGCATTGTTTTTAAGATGTGAATTACAAAGGAAATCAAATATAAGCACGCAGATCCTTTTAATGTAAGCAAGTGGGGTAAAATATGTTACTATATCAACATTTATCAATTCCAGAATTCCCAAGTTGTGTTCAACTTCAGGTACTACTTTGCACAAGGGTACAAGGTCAAACTAGCAGATAATGAATTTTCAAGCTAACACAAAATACCACAGGCTGACAATCATTAAGGACGAATAATGCAACTCTCTGGTTGCCCTGGCCTGACAATTATTTCTGCTTCAGCAGAAACCTCAGCTAAGACCTACGCACTCAACTCACAGAGGTGTCATGACTGTAATTGCCAGATATATGGGATCTGCATCAGATAGGACAGTGATCATTTAAAAAACAAAATGGAGATTTTTGGTTGTGTTTTTTTTTTTTTTTCGGCGGAACTGGGGATTGAACTCAGGCCCTTGCACTTGCCAGGCAAGTGCTTATTCTACTGAGCCATCAAAACAGGTGTTTGATATTGAAGAAAACTGTAGAATCTCTCCTGAGAATGGTGGGAGGTGAAATCTAAGGTAAACCATTCAAGGATTATCCATCGTCCATGTAATGAAGCACTTCTATAGTGCCTATAGTTTGAGTGAAGACACATGATAGACTTATAAAAAGTTCAAGATAAGCTACCCTTTTCATCTTGAAAATATCTTGAAAAATAGCAAAGATAACATCACCATTTCTTTTCTCCCAAGTAGCTAAAGATCAATGAGAAAAATAAAATGTCAATGCTTAAAGTATTGCTGTTTAAGAGGCATTACCCCATTTGATGGTTTAGGATTAAATATGAAAACAGATCCCATGTGATCGGATAATAAACAGAAGGCAGGTGTCCAGTTTTTGTCTTCCAGGCCTAGAAGCTGTACCAGAAAACCACCTTTTTCTGCATTTGTTGTTTTGAAACCACTACACTAGCTTTACATCCTAACACAGAACAATCAAAATTCTAAGACTGAAGGCAGTGTCTGTGCCAATACTTTTATACTCATAAGACCCACTATTCCCTATTCTCCTGACTGCTCTGGTTAAAGAATTTCTCTCTGCCAGCAGCTTGGAAAAATAGGCTTTTTCTCTGCCTTAGACGCCCATTAGGAGCAAGAGTTTCTGCCACGTCCTGCCTGAAGCCCTTAGTTGTTCATTTCAGGCCCGTCTCCTCAGAGCTCACGTCAGTCATTCCTTCCGCTGCTCTCCACAGGTGATCTCCCAGTACCTGCAGTCTACCCATGCTCCTACACACAGTGACTACACCATGACCTTGCTGGAGGTTTTTGAAGTGGAAAAGGAGGGGGAGAAAGAAGCCTTCAGGGAGGATCTGCATAACAGGTCTGTGTCTGCTTTGAGCCTGGGAACACATGTCCTTGCCCGAAGTGCAGTTGAGGACCTTGAGGTAGCAGAGGCGGCTTGTGGCTTCTTTATGTCTGTGGCCTGTTTACATGAGAGCAAGAGTACAGTAACTGCCTTCTCGTAGGACGCTGCTGTGGCACGGCTCCAGGCTGAGTAACTGGGTGGGAATCCTGAGCCACGGGCTTCGCATTGCCCCGCCAGAGGCCCCCGTCACAGGTTACATGGTGAGTAGAGCTTGAGCCCTGGGTAGGACACAGGAGAAGGATTCCAGTTACTCAGTGCTGTCCTTTTCTTATCTTCCAAGTGAGCATTAGGCAGTACTGGGCTAGGGATATAGCCCAGTGGTAGAGTGCTTGCCTAGCATGCCCAAGGCCCTGAGTTCAATCCTTAGTACCACCAAAAACAAAAACAAACAAGCAATTAGGCAGTACATTTCCCAAAACTTAAACCAGCCCACTGATAACTTCTTGGTGTCTTAATGGGTTCTTCTTTAAATTCCAAATGATACTGTTCCATTGCTTCAGAATGCCAAGATTCATTGATATTTTTACTCTGGAAGAGAACTGTGAAATATTGGATACAAGACTGTATTTTAGGGGCCAGAGAGATGGCTCAGTGGAATAAGCATTTCCCTGGCAAGCGCAAGGGCCTGAGTTCAATCCCCAGTTCCAACAAACAAACAAACAAACAAACAAAAGACTGTATTTTGTTGAAAAAACCCATCAGTGGTATGAGCCTTCCTTCCAATATAATGGATTAAGCAGATGACCTTCATTTTGTTTAATTTAGTTTGGAAAAGGCATCTACTAAGCTGATATGTCTTCTAATAGAGCCAACTACTGCTTTGCCTCCAAACTAAGGAATGCAGGGGTGCTGCTGCTTCTTTTTTTTTTTAAGGGCTGCTCCTTTTATCACAGGTGAGGCTGGAACACATCTGTGGCCTTCAGTTTATTAATTTTTATGTTTTTTCCAGTGAGGAAGGTTTGACCTTAGAAACAAGAGATTCACTTGAGATGAATTAAGGGTTGCCTAGGAGAATTTTCATTGTATTCCATTCCTTTGTTAGAGGCAGGGGAAAAAAATGTAGATGGAGTTCTCTATACAGTAACTTTCTCTCTCTCTCTCTCTCTCTCTCTCTCTCTCTCATACACACACACACACACACACACACACACACACACACACACCCTTGTGGCTATTTGACTGGCAGTCCTCTCTTTGTTCATCTCCCCTTCTCTCTTTGTCCCTTTTCTCCTGCTTCTTTTTTTTCTTTTGAGGGAGGGTCTCCCTGTGTTGCTCAGGCAGGCTTTGATCTTCTGACTCAAACAAAGCTCCTCACTCAACATCCTACTGAGTCCTAGGCATGTGCTGCACTACCCATGTTTCTTTGGTGCTGTAGATGGAACCCAGTATCTCACACATTATATGAACACTCTGCTACTAAGCTACACACCCAATCTGAGTGGTAATATTCTAGCTTTTTTGGGCAGAACCAGGGATTGAACTCAAGCCCTTGCGTTTGCCAAGGAAATGCTTATTCCACTGAGCCATCTCCCTGGCCCTATTCTACCTTTGTATTCACAATAAAAATTAAATACAGGAGCTGGGGAGATGGCTCAGTGGAATAAGCACTTCTCGGACTAGTGCAAGGGCCTGAGTTCAATTCCCAGTTCTGAAAAAAAAAAAAAATAAATTAAATACAAAGTTAACTCTGGCCAGACACTCTAGCCAACCATGTTACTAGAGATTAGCTTCTGAGTTCCTATTTCATTTTTTGTAAGCAAAAACTTTATTGGTACATTTTTTATTAATAATCACAGCATTCATTACAGAGAATTTGTGTCTTTACATGTTTCTTGATTTTTTCCCCATTCCCATCTCCTTTCAACTCTTCTTCCCTCCTTATTTACAAAGAGCTGTTTTCATTTTTCATTCTATTCTCTTTTTCCCTTTTCAGCTGAAGCTATTAAAAACTGCTGCCATAAACATGATGTGCATATGATGCTCTTATGATATCTTTAATTCTTTCATAAAGAAACACTGTGCTTCAACATTGTGGATTGATACCACTTCTTTGAATTGGGTCTGAGGGTAAATTTGGTTCTCCATGAAGTTATAGATTTTATTGTCAGTAAAAAAAAAAGGGGGGGGGGCTGGTGAGATGGCTCAGTGGTCTAAAGCACCTATTTAGAACAAGCTAAGCAAAGCACAGGGACCGCGGTTCAATCCCCAGCACCACATGCCAGCCCGCCCTGCCCCCTGGTGGGCTGAGCTGGTCACACACACACACACACACACACACACACACA